GAATGAAGTGAGAAGTGTTTCCAAGTCGGGTGACTAGTGCTTTGAATAATTCATAAGGCAATGAGTCACTCATGAATATTCATGACTCAACACACCTGAGATTCCATTAAGATCTCACCTGCGGGGTGTTTCTCATATTTGCAAGGTGGAAAGAAACGTGGAAAGAAACGTGGAAAGAAATGTTAACCTGTATAATAGATCGCTCTTGAATTGCGGTATACAAGTAGTCTGAACGCGCAGACTCTAATTTGACACTTTATCACAAATACAGTCAAACCTGTCTATAGCAACCGCCCAAGGGATACACAAAGAGTGGTCTTTGAAGACAGGTTCCTTTAGTACATGATTCAATGAGAAACCGTTTTCAAGGGAAACAAAAAACATGGTCTTTATAGACAGGTGTTTCAAATGAGAATGTAGTACAGAACTTATGGGTACAGCAGACCACGCAGTTTACATAGTCTCTTAGTTCCCAGACTCTGTTACTAACAACCCCTAAAGTCTTGAGCAGAGCCTATTTCTAACAATCTCTGACTGTGCCAAATGAGCTATAGTACAGGACTTATGGGGTGCAGCAGACAACGCAGTTAACATAGTCTCTTAGTTCCCAGACTCTGTTACTAACAACCCCTAAAGTCTTGAGCAGAGCCTATTTCTAACAATCTCTGACTGTGTCAAATGAGCTATAGTACAGGACTTATGGGGTGCAGCTCACCACGCAGTTTACATAGTCTCTTAGTTCCCAGACTCTGTTACTAACAACCCCTAAAGTCTTGAGCAGAGCCTATTTCTAACAATCTCTGACTGTGTCAAATGAACACCCCAGGACTTATGGGGTGCAGCAGACCACGCAGTTAACCTAGTCTCTTAGTTGGCAGACTTTGTTGACAAGGGTCTTTGACCGCAATGTAACTACTGTAGGGGTTCAACTAAGTACACACATACTTTTAGTAAAAACGCAAACTTGATGAAAAAATGCAGGCATTCTTTCAAATTCAATTCCAGTAAAAAGTTTAAAAAGTGGGCTAAATTTACCCAAGTGGGCTAGAAGATTAAATGTGCAAGCTTCTTAGATATGTGGAATGGTATCCCCCCCCCCCCTCCTCTGTCAATCAAAACCTTCATGGACACTGCCCCAATTAAAAAAATGATATTAACAAAAAATGAAATATCAACAGTTTGATGAAATAATATTCGTGTAAAGTGAACAAGAAAGCTAGATACCCCCTCCCCCTTCTCTCATTATTTTTCAAATCTTAAATTTGTCCTGCAGCTTCCACACTTTATATCATGCATTAATATTCAAGAAGTGTACAACTATCTAACGAGCAATGGGATTTGTGGCCTCTGCCTCTGGGGTCCCCAATTGGGTGGTAAAGAAGCGCATCGTGTTACCCTTGTACCATTTAAAAAGTTGGACAGTGGGATTGTAGCATCAAACGCTTTAGATCGATTTAAGTAGATCTTTGCATCAAGTTTCCCCCTTGCACCGGTAATTGTCCCTTCGCCCTATTTCCTCCACCCCCCTCCCATTCTTTCATTCATGAAATTGCAAGACACGTAGCACAAGCTAATGAACAGGGGTGTAAGGTGGCCTGTACGGTCCCCAGTCAGGTGGTATAGGGGCGCATCACATTACCCCTCTACCGCCTTCCAAAGATCAATGACTGCGGAAAAATCAATTCAAAAGCAACACCTGAAGATGACCTCCCCCTGCCATTCACGTCTTAAAGGTAAAATACAGCTTTGAGAGGAGACGAAATTGCTTATTATGTATATTCTGGGGGTATGGCACCAGGCAGAATCCAATATTTTTGAGAAATGTATTTTCATCTTCTTACAAAACATCTTTGAGGAGCAAAGTAATGACCGTATTTTGAAAGTAACATCAATGACTTTAATTATGCAATAAAAGTCTTCCTCAATCATTGCATTTACCTTTGACAAGTAAGAAATGTTCTAGAAGATGTTGATAATGACGTATGTCACATTCTTGCTGTATGAATTATCGTAATCACCAACTTATCTGGTCATAAATACCTCACCTCAAATCATATTATGGACCTACACAATTCTGTGAATGATGTGTTTATAATTGATCAAATGACATGAAATGCATCATAATGTAAACAAAGATAAATTTTGGAAGGAGAATAACAGGATGATAAACCCAGAACATGTCATATCCCTTTCTTGTTTCAATTTTATTCAACCCCACCCCCTCAAATCTAAAATCTCCTCCCCTTTCCCCTCTTATATTTCTGTTCTCTCTCTCTCTCTCTCTCTCTCTCTCCTCCTCCTCTTCCTCCCTCTTTCTCTCTGTCATCCTTTCTCCCTCTATTCCTCCCTCTCCCCACCACTCCCTCAAGCACTCTGCTCTCTCGTTCTTGCTCTCTCTCTCTCTCTCTCTCTCCCTCCCTCCCTCTCTCTCTCTCTCTTCCCACACTTATATACATGTACATTAAAGATAAACTTGAGTTCTGGTAAAAAAAGAAGATGAATTCTCACAGAATCTAACGAAACTTACACTGAATGTTCAAGATTACAAATAAATGTCATGTGCCAAACAATTTTGGAAGAAAATGTATACTGGCTGAGTAATGAGCATAGAAAGATAAGGAAATCAGGGTAGTACTAGCCCCGACACCATGTGTGTTGTCCCATATACATCTTTCTGTGTAAGTGATTGTTACTTTACCAAGACTCTGCCAAATTTATGATGATTTTGATGACTCCAGAACCTTGCATTACACACCGTTACTAACATGCTATATGATCAACTTTTCTGATCCATTCCCCACCTTTTCTTTCACAATGCAATCGCATTACCAGAACTCAAGTTTATCTTTAAGTCATAATATCCCCTTTCTTTATTTTGTATGTTGGTTTCTCTCTCTCTCTCTACTTCTCCGTCATTTGCTCTCTCTGCTTCTATCTCTCTGTCAAGCACATCATATATCATCCACTCTCCGCAATAACAGGTATGTGTCGATTCATAACGAACCGCCATATAACCAAATACAACCCTCTCCCATCGCCTAATAAATGTCATCCATGCTAGATGGGCCAATTTGAAATCTCCCAGGTTTCCAAAGATAAGAGCATACATGCTAACTCAGACTAAATGAAATTTATATGAACAAATTATATTAAAAAAACTTCATATAAAGAATCATTGCACAGGAAATGTTTTCTTCATGGTATAATAAATGTCACATTTACAGTTTGAACAACTTAATTAATCATACCCCTTCTTAAAAAAATTAATGAGTGCTTTTCGTATTAACTCCAGAACAAAAAGTGTCCTGGTGTGATTACGATCTTTGTTGAATAGTTTTTAATGAAAGCTGTTATATGTCACATTCTCAAGAAGCATTTATCAGGACAAATCAATTTGTCACATACTTAAAGGTAAAGAACAGTATTGGAAACGCCCAAATTTCAAAAAATGAAATGGAAGCTCTCATTACCAATCATGTGAAAGAATATGTTTTGACTAATACATGATGATAAAAAATTTGCAGGGAAACCGCCTACTAATTCATATATTTGGTAAATTTGTTTCTCTCATGGTCTGTGAGAGATATAGGGTAGTCCCATATACATCTTTCTGTGTATAGTGCTTGTAACTTTACGAAGAATGGGCCAAATTTCTTATCATTTTGATGATACCAGAACCTTGCAGATGCTAGATGCTAGATGATCAACCTTTTCTGATCGATTCCACGACGTTTCTTTCACATTGCAATCGCATGACCATAACTGGTCTTTATCTTTAAACAATTACAAACCTTGGTAATACAGGGTATGAATAATTTAGTTGTTATCTGTATGGTTTTGAGCAGGGGGAGGGGGAGGAATTCAACATCAATGAATATAACAACATCTCCTACATGAGACAGGGGATGTGCTTGTCTCCTAACCAGACTAATAAATCTAAACTAATGCAAACAGTGCCTTGTTTCTAACCGCTTTCTTTACATAACTGCTGGGGTCAAGTCTAGTTTTGAGAGGGGGCAACTGGTGGTATGGTAACATCAACAAACAAAAGCGGCGGTGTAAATTGGGATGAATTTACGAGCAATATTGACGAGTAAATATCCAAAAGGGTGTGAAACTACTTCTGGAATTGCAAACAGATTTAGGTTTCGTAGCTACAGTACCGGTACTTCAAAAATGTTTTTTAATACATAAAGCATGGGCAATTTAACATTTGTTGATGTTGTTTGTGTGTGTGTGTTTATAAGGGGAGTGTTTTATTTGATTTGCATATTTTATATTCTTTAACATCATAGTTGTAAAGACTAACATAAAATTATGGAAAAGTCATCATTGGACCACTGGTGGACTTTAGGGGCCACTAGCAGCCCAAGACCCTCCTCCCCTTCCCCTTAAAACTAAATCATACTGACCTCAAGAACATAAAACTAGCCCTACCCCCCAAAAAAGCACATGCAAATGTACATGTTTTAACCCTTTTTAGAGGGGAGGGGGGGGGGGGGGTCCAACAAAGATTTTTTCTTTAGACTCGTGCAGTGACACATTTCAATGCAACAAAATCGGCTCCAAATCTTCTTTGAAGTGTTTTCGCTGTTTTTCTGGAGCAATCGAGGGTCATTCTAATTTCGTCACATTTTCTCAACACCAATTGGAGCAAGGGCCTTAAATCATAGACACATGTCTACACAAATGCTCTATTTTCATCTACACTCAGCGGCGGCACTTTTAGTTTGTTATTTCGGTAAATTCTGTTACACCACAAATTTTATTCGATAACACTTCTGGGGAAACAACCCCCTGGATCTGCACTAACAAACAAAGTGAAGGATGGGGTGGGTTTCACAGGGAGCTAATTAAGAGGGGTCTTGTTTGGTATGAATTCTAACATTAGTCAACATTGACTGCTGGTATGAGAAAACATGGTGTGAGAAATTGAAGCTTTTTCACACAAACATCAATATTAAAATGACAACATAGCAGTTTTGAAAAATAATACTCACGCTATTTGACCAACAAGGATACGGAACTGATGCTGGTAGAACAACAAGGAATAATTCATGTTTGATATGACAATCAGCATGTATCCCTAACTTTGTTTTCCACATTTCTCTTCTCTTTTTTTGATCCACATTCCTTACACTTTATAGGACTGGCTCGTTCATCATTTTAATGATTCTGTAAAACTTTCCTTGAATCCATAACTCTTTAGTTGAACTTTCATCAAGTATTTCAAACTTTCACAAATACTTTTCCTCTCATTTTCCGTTAAGATATATATTTGTTTTACTTGTTTACAGGTTTGTTGGAAAAAAAAATCCTTGTACTGGATGCAACATATAATTTGTTAACGTCTTTTCATCATATTATCATTTATTATAACTTGTGCAGAATTATCAGGTAAACTTAAAACTCATACAAAATTCAGTTACATACCGGTATGTTATATTTCATTGGTAGTATGCAGGGTTACAGACTAAAAATGTTAAGAAGGGTTTCGAAAGAAATTGACAAGGTTTAGGAACATTGGGCTTTGACTCAAAACTTTGTATTATAATTTTGAAATAATATTTGTTGGTGGGGGGGGGGGGGGGGGGTGGCAGAATGCCCTAACCCCTGATTCTTGTTACATCCTGTATTGAATTCAAATTAAGATTCAAATTCAAAATTCATTGAAATAGAATGCACAAGTACATACAAAAAGTATTGAAATATGAGTATTATGAGTCAGGGTTAACCTTTTCTTCTGGCTACAAAGCTGGCTGGCCAAGTCTTGATAATTGAGTTGTTTTTCAGACCATATATCTTTCATCGATTCTCATCTAAGTAAATCAAATTCAGCCGGATTAAACCATATATGAGCATATTTCTCCCCCACTATCCCAAGGGGTTTACTACCCCACATCCTGCAGTGGAGCATCTTTGTAAAGAGATCCTTTGGGACATTGAGCAGCCTAATGTAAGGCATCTTTGGCAAAGGCTCTTTATAGATATCACCAGGGTTATTCACACAAGGAGTAATGTATACAACATTTGGATTAAGATTCGTTCAAACATGAGTGAAAGCTGTTAGGACAGGCTTTACCTGGTTGAAAAGCTTTGATTTGGTACAATGTTCACACATATGAGAACAGTAGATAGCCTTCCTTCAGACCTGACTCGTTATCAACTTTTCATTTGAAATCATCATCATCCCCCAATTTAGTTTAACGTTTTTTTCTCACACAACGTTCTGACAAGAAGAAAAAAGAATCTATCACACAGCTCCTGTACACACTCTTCATAAAGCTACTGCTAAAGAAGAAATTTTGCGCGTATGACATGTTCACATATTTTGCAAGTGGGTCAAACACTTTCAATTTCAAGAAAGCTTTACGTCATGATGAACTAATTGAGAAAAAAAAAAAGACAAGACGCTGACTTTTTGCTATTCGCAAAGTTTCTTAAATTCCTAAGAAAATCTCTACAAATTTATGCACATGTCATGTAAAATTAAAGGTTTTACATTAAGCGATAAATATCACTTGGCTGAATGGGGATTGGGAATTTCTAATTCTCACTAACCTTGACTTTGGTTTCTTTTCATGGTATACAATGCATCTGCAAGTCGGTTTTGATAAGCATCTTGGGGTAATAAACTCATTTTTCGGCCTTAATGAACCAAGTAATGCAATTAAGGGCCGACTGGAATGGCTTGTAATATGAAGGTCTCGGTCATCACTTTAAAGGTATGGTATTTTACCGACATCGCTACCATATTGCTATAATGTATTTTCAATTGCGTCATCTTTGGGTGAAGAATAAAATGCCCGTATATTTGCAACGATTGGGAAAGAAAATGAAAACAATATAGACAAAGTAATATAAAAGCCATCCACATTACGAAGGAAACCAACAGTTGTATCACAATTTTTTAGCTCTCTCGACTTGGTTGTAAGTTCAACCTAAGACACATCACAGTTGGATATAACAGTGTTTAATGCGCGGCACGCGTCTCTCGATCCGTCTCCATTCGCTTGAGCACAGTGCATAGAAATTCTTTAAATGGCTTCACGGTGAGCAAGGGGGATGTCCCGTGAAAATGGAATTTGTGGCAAATTATGCCCCAACGTGCTGCCTCACAGCTGGCTTGAAAGGCATGCTGGGAAGGAATACTGCATGCTGGGATATACGATGGGATGATATCACAAGGGCAACGCTGTAATGTTAATAATTGACCTAAGAGTGTGACCTCTCAAACTTTTGTTATCCAGTTGAAAAAGCATTATTGGTAAATAAATTTCAAGTACACTGTATATTCATGACAGATAGTCTTAGCTGGGTCCCAATATCTCAGCTATTTAAAACATAAATGTATAACTCTGCAAAATGCAAATTTGCCTTACTAGTTACTATGTTTTCAGAAAACAGATATTTCCAAATTCCAATGAGCACCAAGTATAACCATAGGCAAATAATGATTCCATCTCAGTGCAAATTACTTTTGGAAAACAATCAAAAATACTATGAGATAGCCAGCAGTACATACATATAAAATTGACTTCTATATTTATTGTATATTTGGGTGTACATTTCAGAAAATTATTTCCACAACAACTACGTTCTTGCTTAAAAAGAATACAAATGCAGTGAAGCAGATTGGAATGAAATCGTATTTGATCCCTAATCTAGAGATAGAGTTTGATGGAGCATACATTTAATACCCAGGTGCCATGGCAACTAGTTTCATCAAAGGCACTGGCCTTGTAAATTTGAACTTGCGAACTTCAAAATTGGGAAGTGGGTGCTTGAAACAATCAGAATTGTATTGAAGCCTTAAAAATGGGAAGCAGATAAATCTACCATAATATGTTTAGAACAAAATATTTTACACTGTACTTAATAAAAAAAAACTTTTTATAATGATTCTTTATTTCAAATTTAATAGAGACCTAAAATAGAACACTTTCCTTCAAAATTATACCATGATATATTTGCCTTAGAAAATGTGTACCGATCATGCTATGTCTCGTAAAAGTAGCAATTTCACACTGTTTGAGATATTTACACGGTTCCTTAATTCTTCAATCGAGTGAAGCCAGTCATGAAATGAGCATAAACAGAAGTCACAGTCCCATGCATACATATATTTGAAACCACTGACGTATGACGTTTATCTGTATCTGTTCATGAGAACTATCCGTTTGTTTTCACTGTGAATATGTACAATTAACAACTAAACTATTCATATACCCTTACCAAGTTGTGTAATTTTTTGAAGCATGTGAGATATTGATTTGCCCTGATTAAAGTTTCTTGAGAATGTGACATATTCAATGAAGGCCATAATTCCACCAGTCAACTTTCCATTTCTGAGTTACAAAAAACATCAAATATAAAAGGGTACCGTATGAATAATTGAGGTGTGAACTGTATCTGGACACAGTTGCGCTCAAAGCTCGATAATAATCGAAGCATGAAATAAAAGGTGAAAAACAACTTTTCTCTAAAATGTTGTTTGACAAATCCAATACAATAACTCAAAGACATTATTTTGTCAATTCTGATTTGCTGATACTCTTTGTAATGCTCTTCAAATGGAAACAGAATCTTTTCTCCTCAGACACTTTCTTTTTATCTTCAAAGAGTCAATCCCATCCTGATGTTGCACCTTTCAAGAAAATGTCTCATTTCATATATATCCCGGCCCTTTCTTGACAATCACAATTCCCAACGTTTTTCCCAGAGCGACTATTAATTTCTCCTCATGTGCAATCACCCATACAGAAGCTCTTCAATTCTTTTTCATTTTATTCCCAACATCAGACATTCTCTCCTTTCAAAGACGGGAACATTCAAGAGAAAGAGTCATAATCTTAAATATCCCCAGGCTTTCCGACAATTAGACAATATCCCTGAGAATCCATTTATCTCCTCCAATGTACCATTTGGAATCTGGTTTTCCGGCCGGTTTCACATCGAAGGAAATATATCATAATCCATTGCTGCCTTTTCCAATTCTTCTTGGCTTTGTAAAAGAACTGGGTCGATCCCATAAAAATTCCCCCTTAAAACTAGGCCAAGGAAGTTTTACCCGACTTCTCGTTTTTTTCTTCCCCTGCAGTATTAAACCCCCATTCAGACTAGAGCAAAATGTGTATGAAAGTTGTATAAAGAAACGTTGTATAGACTATCATTGCACAGCAAAAGGGGCGTTCATACTAAAATACAACGAAACTGCGTATAAATTAAGAAACTAGTTTTGAAGAAGCTAGGTGGCATGCAGCTAGTCAAACATCAGTGCACCCCTGTGTTAAGCTCTGCCCAGTTATACGATTTATATACGATGCAACGTCCAGACTCGATCAGGACCCCGGTTCTTTAAAGATGCTCAAACTTGTCACGTTTTGTTGTATGATATTTCAGTATACTACGATTCTTTACGATTTGTCCTGACTGTGAAAAAGATAATCACATTCCTTTGATGGCTATACGATAAATTCCGATGGTCTGAACGCACTATGACTTCTCTCGCTTTTCCCAACAGTCTTAAGCGTTTCTATCCATCACCCTAACACTATCGCAATGCACTTTTCTTTTTCGCAAACCGAGACGCTACCTCATTCGTTTCCCTCTTGTTTTCTTTTACAATATTTCTTCAGCCCTTTCCGCAATGCGAGATGTATGAGTCACGAATATGGACGTACTTTTATCCATTTGTGACATCTTACAATTCATCTTGTAATGTCTTATCATGTACATTTCCTTAGAAAAGTCTGGAGGTTTAAGGTGGGTGATATATTTGCCGACGAGCCAGTGACGATTTCCTGTTATGAGATGTTGTTCTCAGAGTGACCTCTTTTTCCTTCTCTATCTTTTGATCCATTTTACATTAATAAAATGTATCCCCATCTCCTGTCTTTTCCTTCCCATTCTCTTCCTCTTTCTCTTTCTCATACTTCTCACTCTCTCTCTCTCTCTTTAACTCTGCCCCAATTACAATCATTATCTCTTTATTTCTCTCTCTCTCTATCTCTTTCTATCTTCCATTCTCTCTCTCTGTCTAACCTCTTTGTTTTTTTTTTCTCTCTCTGTATCTCTTTCTCCACAATACTATCCCTACGACTTTTCTCTTCCTCATCCTGTTTATTCTCCAATGTCTGTTTCTAGTCTTCTAATACCTCTTCTCCCCCCCCCCCCCTCTCCTCTCTCTCTCTCTCTCTCTTTCTAACACTCACTCTCTCTCTCTCTCATTCTCTTTATCTCTCTCTAATTCTCTTTATCTCTCTCTCTCATTCTCTTTATCTCTCTCTCTCTCTCTCTGTTTCTCTCTCATTCTCTTCATCTCTCTCCATTCAGAACCCCATTTACTGGATACCCGTCAATCATGAGACTCTAGCTCCCTCTATCATCATCCCAAAAATATCACACAATTTTCCATCTACCGGACATGTAAAATAAACCCTTCCAAATCTTGTTTACCATCTCTGCCGGCTCTTCCCGGCATCAAATCTCCAAAACGCAACCGCTTTCTGACCCGATGAAATTCCAACCACCCTCCAGGAAACATCATCGTGGGTGCAAATCTACATCTATGCAAATGAGGGTCTGTGTTCCCACCTCTCCTTTCCACACAGTTCACACACAAATGTGATGTGGCTTAAACCCTCCTCCTCCTCCCCGAACTAAAGCATTACCTTGTTGAGAAAACTGGTAATTAAGGGCGATGAAGTCCAGTAGTGGTTCTAAGGGGGAGGGGGAGGGGGTGGGGGTGGAACACAGCCCTTCCCCAAAAAATGCGCCCCTGTTTCATTATATGTGAATTTAAGCGAGGTAAATGCAAAAATGTCAGAGAATGCCAAAGCCCCCCCCCCCTCAAAAAATAAAATGAATCAAATCTACAACCGTGTCTGATAAACTCTATCAATATCTAGTCCTCCAGTCTGTCTATTCTGTCAACTCATAGAATGATCTTGATAGACCCTGTTCACACCATCATTCTAATCCTCAACCTTTACACATGAAATCGCCATTAAAATCACGTGTTAACACACCTCGAGAGCTTGAGCTGCGTTATCTTGCAGTGGAAGAAACGGATGAGCCGAGGGGAGTCGCTCGAGAGACGAAGCGAGCTGGAATTACAGAGTGCGAGGTTAAAGTCGTGATTGACTTCGGTATAGGATAGCCAACACACCGTGGTGTTGCATCGATTAAACATGTTAAGAAATTGGGAGGTAGAGGAAAGATATTTCTAAGGTTTGGTTCTACGGTAATAATTTAGGCAGGTGGGTGCAAATAATATCAACAGTCAATCCATAATCATATTGATTCAATACTTTCTTGATTTTTGCTGAAAGAATTGGAAGAAAGTTCAAGAAGCAGATTCCCAATCCTCCCATTTGTGCCCCTCCCCCCCCCCCCCCCCAGCCAGTTTTCATATTTATATTCAGTGCATAAAATTTAAACAAAACATTTTTAAACTGAGATTTTTCTTGGAACTCATGATTAAGAATACAAACATATAAAACATTATTAAACTGCCAAATTGAAACTAATGCACACATTGATATTTATCATTTCTTTGTTTTGGGACACATTACATTAATAGCTCATCATCATATCCTATCCCTCAAAAGTGGGTACTAGTCAATGCACAGGACAGAGGCTTGGAATAAACAAAATATGACATACTAGTATTTGTTAAAATCTTGGGTAGTTGGTCCTATGTTATGATTATAAATGCACAAAATATTGAGCTGAAGATTTCCCTCTCAAAATTCTAACTAAAGCAACTATTTTGAGGGGACTTTCCACTGTCATGAGGATATATGAAGAAACTGAAGATAGGATATCTTTATTTTTCCTGAAATTTGTTGGAACAAAAGAGGTCTGGACTCTGGAGAGTCAATAAATACCAAGAATAGCTGAGAAATTGAATTATGACACTCAGGGGAACAGGGGGTCACTGCCAAGACTACAACACATTAAAAACTGAGAGCAGAAACTCATGAAAAGGAAAAGTCATATTGGATGAGTAAACTCATTGGAAAATCCCTCCGACACTGCCATGGTTTTAACCCCTTAGACATAGCCTGTGTTGAGCCACGCAAAGTCCTTTCACACCAACCCAAGCTTTGAAAAAATCATTTGTAGCTCATGGGTACTTTTTGACACATGCAGGTCACAAAAGAAATCCCAAACCAATTTCATGATATCTTTTTGAATAGCCCTTTGGTCAACCCAGGTGATGTAAATGGGTACCTGGCAGGAATTAATTCTTTGAAATGCTAGAGCGCCGCAATGGCAGCACAGCTAAAGCCGGGGTAATAATCTCCAAGTTTGGAAGCGCTTAGTGATTCTAATAAGCGTTATATTAAAACTGAGTATTATTATTATTATTATTAAGTGAAAAAATGTGTGAGGGGGAAGGTAAGGGGAAAGATGGGGGGGGGGGGCGTTAATCAATCTCAGACTTATGCATTGTAACTCATCGACAGAAACAAGATGTAAGGATGATTCTTTCTGTAATTTTACAATGTCTTTTCTCAAGATTTGGAAATTGGCTACTCCCCACCCCCCCCCCCCACCCCTCCCCCTCCCCCTCCCCGAAAAAGAAGAAGAAGATATGATGGGTAGTTTTCAAAACCCCAATGTGTGAAAGCACCCACATGTCACCCATAGGCTTTTGCAGTGAAAGGCTTAGATCCCTAGCTGGTCCCTAGACTCATATTACCATAGCAGGTCATTGGGTATCAATGTCATATTCATGTCATGTTGTATTGCGAAGGATTTATTGAGATGAGACGCAGACCAAATGCATCATCGCAGGAAAACTTGGAATTACTTGTGTGTTACTGGTAAAGTTGAGTTCTGGGACCGTTTCACAAAGCCTCTTTTTCAATGACAAATTACGAAAATCAGTGACAAATTTGCTGATAACCAATCAGAAGCAAGGATTTCACTAGCTTATAACAAAAACTTTAATTTGTCACTGATGACAAGTTTATCTTCTTCTGACTTCTTCCTTATCTTTTCTACTCTCTATTCGTCCTTCATTCCTTCCTCCCCCCCCCCACTCTCTCCCCCTCTCTCTCTCTCTCTCCATAAAGAGTGCCTCACTTTCGACCGTTTATTATTCCTCCCGTCATCCATTACACAGAGTAAGATGCCATAACAATGACTTTGAGAAGTCAAAGGTCAACCCGATAGTCTTTGCAACCAGTAGTTCTGTTATCTCCTAAAGCTTTACCGTGTGCAGGACAATCAATTCGTGAAAATGGGGAAATATTTTCCTACTGAATTCATGACAGTCTTTCGCTTGGCGTGCTCGCAGTAGGTGACTGCATCACGGATGACATTCTCCAGGAAGACCTTCAGTACACCGCGTGTCTCTTCGTAGATGAGACCAGAGATCCTCTTGACACCTCCCCTTCTAGCAAGTCGACGCATTGCAGGCTTGGTAATCCCCTTCTAGCCTCTTCAATATTTAGAATATCTCATCTTCATATTCATAACACTCCATCAAGAGACTGGTGAGGAAGTCTAGACTTAATAGCCCTATCCCCTCCAACCATTCATACAATACCCACAAACACCTAATACCAAGGGACTTTGACATGGGGGTCAACTCAGGTCAACTGGGGTCAAAGGTGAAATACAATCTAGCCCTAAACAAATACAGCTCCACACTCATTGTATCATTGACCCCTTCCAAAAGGGAATACCCTAATAACAAAAATGTGGCAACCGAAAATGAGACAAAACCTCACGGGAAAATCCTGCAGCTTGAGACATCACTAACACAGATTGGAGTAGGTGGGACAATAGCTAATAGCACATTAAAGCAGTACAAATTTGTCAGTGTATGGGACTGGGTATGTGGATGATATCTTTTGATCACTCTCTCCGGGGAGGATACACAGTTTCCTAGCACGTAGCCCATTCCAGAGGAACGTCTTTTTGGTGGAAACGAGAAATAGAGCAAGACTCGATACTCATCTTGGTATGGTATAAGATCCTGATAAGGATCGGGAGTAAAATGTGAAATGAAATTTGAGCCCGATTTTGGAAGTTCTAAGGGAAGTGAAAATTGAGAGGGTGCCGACATCTTGGAAGAGATGACCGTAAAATGCAGTCGATGGAAACAGATGAGAGATTTGTTTTGTATCGATGAAAACAAAAAAACAAGAAACAAGAACAAGTACCAGCCCATATATATTTGAATTGTTTGTATTGTTGTTGATGAAAACTTGTTTAAATAAACATATTCCAGGGACGGATTCATTTATTGACTTAATATTCACTTACCTGGAAAATGAATTACACCAGAGTTGGTGAAGCAATCAGATGAACCATGCAGGAAAGGAAAATAAAAAGAGAAATAAACAAACGTTCAATTAATAAAATTCCTCAACAAAGTATCATTAAGGTATATTACTTATATCTAGTTGTATTACCTGTGCAAAAGTATGTAATAAACCTACACAGGTAACATTAAATTCCAGCTCAAGTGGGGAATGAAATAGGTAGATTACACAAAGGATAGTCCTATAAAAACACACATTTTTGTTATTGGCAAGTATAAAGTACAGTCAATGTACTTTTGCAATTTTTCTACAACAGATTTTGCAAATTAGGTTATACTTCTGTTGCTTATACTCTATTGGGAGTTAATATCTGATATACAATTTCAATCTTTGAAGTTGTATTGGTTTTCTATGACCCTATGTCAATGTTATATGAGAAACGATCTTTGTGATGAGTTTTCAAAAATCAGCACCAATTTTATGATTACTCGTATCTGTCCTTATTTGATGGTATACCAGTCTTGGATGGGAGACTGGTATCACTTCTGCAGGGGTATCACCTTGCAGGAGTCATGCCCCTACCATGTAGATACAAGACATGCTGGGATCAGGTTACCAGTCTTTGAATGGACTGTGATCAGTTCTTTCTGATGATCTTCCTTGATTAGGCCAACTTCCACAAGTATCAGGGCATGTTACCAGTCTTCAAATAAATGATCAATTTTCTCCATCATCTTCCTTTAATAATGAATTAAAACATCCTAAGATCAGTTAACCAGTCTTCACCGCCCCCCCCCCCCCCCCCCTCTAGCCAACTACAGATAAGATACATATTCATGATCCACAACCATTGAGATCATATTACCAGTCTTAAACTTAAAATACATGGTTATAACTTCTTCCCAATTATCTTCCATGCAGATAAAATACATGATCTATAAAGACCAGTGTCATATTACCAGTCCTGTAATGAATGGTGATCATTTCTCTCCCCATACCCATCTACATGTCAGTGTCTGTCAGCATGGACAGTGATGGGCTGAATTAAGCTGAGATCTGGTTACAGTCTGGACTGGTTATCTGTACTTATCGCATTTCACTTGTCTCCCATCTTCAAACTGTCTGGCTCAATTACAAGCAAGTGATCAAATCAGGGTACTCAAGTCTTCCAGCTTTGAACTTGAACTGCGGATACCCATAAGGCCTTTTTTCAGCTCGAGATAGCCAAATATTCTGCTATTTGAACCATCCCGATCACAAATTATCCAGTTAATTTGCGTCTTCATCAGCCAAAAATTGCAATTAGCGGGATATTTGGTCGAGATAATCATCCCAATATATCTTGGGCTAGTTTGCAAAATATCCCGCTATTTATCCGGTGAGTCTTCACCAGACCAAAGACTATGTGCAAACGCTGAGCAAGTTTCAAGTTTTCAAGTTTCGAGGTCAATCTCGAGCTGATGAAGACGCAATGTAACTTCAGGATTATTTCCAAAATCAGAATTAGCGGGCTATTTGGCAATCTTGAGCTGATGAGGACAGGCCTATAGGCACTTTAAGAAGACAAAGTCTGAAATCTAAACAGACCAGTTTCCTAATACATGTGTTCTACTATGTACTGTATATTCAAATTAATGGATGTTTCTTTCCCAAGAAACTTGTGACGAGTTATTCCATTAACCGGTTATTAATGAATTAACTACAAAAACTCAGAATCCAGTCTGCAAATATATTACTTGTTGCTATGTCGGGAAAGCATCGGGCAAGCTTTCAAATTGTCATGAGCAGCCTTTGTTTAAAAAGTATGCATACAATTTGAATATGTTAGTAAACCTGTCTATTTAAATGTACAACTAACTAATACAAATGGCGTAATATCACACTTCCTATGATGGGCAAGTAAAGTGGACACATTTTTCAAATTTTCAACTGTTTCTTTACCAGCAATGCCGGGGCAAGTAAAAGGAAACATTAGGGCCTGATATAAACTTCATTGGGCAAGAGTTAATCTATGAATTTTAGCACTCTGTTCCTGAGAAGAAAAGAACTATGATCACTTTCTCTTAATCAAAATAATTGCTCAGCTCTAACGAATTTTGTATGTAGCTGTTCAGTGGATATCCCTGCTGCAATGGAGTAACTCATAATGGTATTTTTTTTTTAATTGAGTAGAATAACAAACAATAACTTGTACAGATTTTGAACAGTGAGTGTTCGTCCTCCTGTTTCAAGTGTATATTCTAACCTTTAACCCTGAAATTAACACTATACCTAGTCTTAACCCTAAACTTAGCCTGTATATGTATCTTTAATGAAATAAGACCTGAAGCAAATATAGAATCACAAATTACTATCATTTTTCCTTCTGTGTATCATGTATGCCTATGATTGAACAAAAAAAGGAGTTTGGTTGAGCTGCCGGGAGGCGTTGGTACCCTAATTGTACATCATTCATGACGATATTAAGCAAAGCAATTTGAACTAAAGAGGACAATTAAGAGTCTGAGGTGTTAATGGAGAGATGGAGACAGTAAAACAAATACGTGGGACCACCACCCAAGTTAACCTCTACAATTAATCCACCATACACCAGCTCCCGCACTCCGCAACGCACACGTAGGCCCGGCCGTGGAGGGGAACTGATAGCGGCCACGACAAAACGCATTCCGATCAGTCCACGACCAGCCCTTCCCGTACCGCGTCTATTAACGCCCACTCTTTCCGATCGTATCGATGTCTGGGGAAGAAAGTTAAGTGCAAGCGCTGTCCTCCGCAGAGAAGCCCTCAAACTGGTAACAATGGAGTCACAGGGTCTTGTATTACAATACTGTATCCTTAGCTGAGTTCATACGTGACCTTCATTGTTTTAAAACGTCAAGTTTGCACAAACTCAGCGTTTTAAACAACGATCCATTAACAATGACCAGGGCTCAAACGAGACCGAAACGAGTAATCAACGTTTTAAAGCCCATCTGTACTAGTTTATAGGAGGGATTAGACCACCCTGCAAGGTCACTGGACAGGTGAATATCTCATCAAATCAGCTCTCAATTAACACAAGAAAAAGATGATCATGGGGGACCAATGGTCACCAATTGAGCTTTCGTTTCTACATAGAGGGAGCAAGTTGTTACAAGTAGTACAGTGGACCTTTAAACCACAAGCCAGGCATGCAAGCAGTCATAACTACAAGCTGGCGTAACCTTAAAGTTAGTTGCGTCCTCACAGAACGTAACTTCAAGTATTGATCCTGCGGCCCGTAGTTACTGCGCTAATGATAAAACCATAAGATTGCACATGTTTTAACTTCCAGTGAACTAAAATAAAGTTTCATACCTCAAGTTAGTCCGCAGAGTCTGCAACTACAATTCAACCTCAAAGTTCTAAGAACACGACCTAAATTTTAAGTTTACGTTTATCGTGTGAACCTAACAACTATCCTTTCATTGGAGATGTAACACAATCTGTTCGTCTGTTGTATACCTTATCTCGAAAGCATTATGATACAGGGTTTACAGTTCAAGAGTTAGGCAAGAGAGAGATAACTATGGATTGAGAGCTCGTATAAAGGGCCATGTGGGTTGATCACTGCATGCAATTTAAATCGAGTGCTTTCAAATTGGCAACAGATTTGAAATGTTTTAGGATGGGACAAACATCATTTTCTAACATTCTCCTTTATTGGCCTTTAACAAATTTTCTCGAGCGATTATTGCTTGCTTTGAGACCAAAGATTTGAATGAATTGTTATTCAGCATGGCCAGATATTAGCTTTGATGTTGTAAAAATCTGAAACTTAACAACAGGATTTACTTTTGCAATCCAAGTTGTGTTATTTGTTTCAGTATGTGAAAAATTTAATTGCCACAGTTTAAATTTTGTGAGAATGTGACACATCAAAGCTTATATTTAAAACTTAGTATTCAACAAAGGTCCTAATTTAACCAGTCCACCTTTCATTCTTGAGTTATGAGGGGGAAATAGAACATAAAATTCACAAGGGGTATGGATAATTTAGCTTTTAACTGTCTGTGACCTCTCCCTAAATCGTATTACATATAATTAACCAAGAAAATACACAAACTATATAATACCATGAGAACAAAAATTAGGGCTAATACTACTTTAAAAGTTTTAGTTGCA